CCCAATCCTGCTCAGGTTTATCCTACTGTCTCAAAAGACTGGGAAAAACACAGAAAGCCCCCTTAAAAACAAATGTAATGGGAAGGGGAACATGCAGCCATTAGTGTTGGGGAGGATGGAATGGTCCTTCCTCAGGGCACTCTCCTGCAGTGTGATCACCCGTAACTGCTCTGCATTGCTGCTGACTGTATGCACCAGTGAGGATTCACTCCTCAACCAGAGGAAATGGGATTTCAGAGCTGGGACCATGAAGGAGCTGTGGGGTCACTTGGGAGGTGACGCCCGGTGTGCCGCAGCCAGCAGCAGGCTGGACATGGGGATGTGCTCACCTTCAATTCAACCTTCAACATTATTTCACCCCACTCCAGCTTCCTTTTTCAAAAAACCTGCCTCATTTTTCTTTACCATGCAGGGCACCAAAAGGCTCCATTCATTAAGGCCCAATTCCACCTTTGGAGTCACACCAAGGGTTGTTGTGGGGGAACACAGTAAACACTACAAACAGAAAAATCGGTGATTTAAAAGCCTCAGACATTTGGGGCAGCATGTCACCGACATCGGCTATTGAGTGAGATTTAGACCTTACGCAACACTACGAACTGGGCACAAGAAAGGTACAGCACTTGGATTTTGCAGTAGAAAACAAAGCTTTATCACAGAGGGAGGAGGAAAAGCACACTCGCTCACACCTCACGGACAGCAAGAATGTGGAGGGACTGTTGGTCAGTGAGCATCTAGAAAGCCAATGCCCACAAACATCCTCCCTACATCTTTGGCACAAACCATTTAATTTGGACAGGAAGTCCTGGGGACTTTCCTGGGAGACAGCTGCAACTCCGCGGCTCACATTCATCTCAGGAATCCCGACAACAAGACATAAATACTGCAATTGTTGCTCTGATGCCCCAATTTCACTTCTGGGATCTACAGCTTGTCTTGGGCGAGGTTTCATTTCCCCCAAGGAAGGCCAGTCCAAGAGCAGAGTTGTCAGCAGTAGATCACTTAACCTCGCTGCAGTTCCCCGGAGGACCACTGCTCACATCCTCTGTTAGTTAATGAGCTAAGAAATGAATTATTGGAGCGGTCAGCAATAAGCAGGAAGAGGAGGCACAGTGTTTCATTTCAGCCAGCACTGACATACCTTTAAATAAATCAACTGAGTAAGAGTACGAGGAAGTGTGAGGAAGAGCAACTCATCAGGAGAAGGACACCAAACCAATCCCTAAAAATAAAAGCAAGAAATATTTCCCTTGTTTTCTTGCCTTACTGCAATGCTGGCAACTCTAAATGACCCTCTCAATGCCAGAAATTTTCAGTTGTAGTTCTCAGAGCCAAATCATGACTCTTTTATTCAACTTTAGACAGTGGGATCTTTTTCTCAAGGCCAAATTAAAGCTGGTGCGCTGAAGCGACAACACCCTCGTGCTCAGATGGTCCCGATGATACTGAACTCTGGAGAATGTGTGAGCTGCCTCTTCTTCCTATGCACTAGAATTAATAAACTCCTAGATTAATTTAGAGAAATTACCAATGTAGTTCTAAGATCAGAGTTTCTTTGAGCCTTTTATCACTCAAGTTCTGCATTCAAACGCAAACTCCAAGTCTCACTGCTTAAAGGGCCAAAGAGATGACTGCAATATACTCTGCAGAACCAGGAATGAGCCACCGAGCCTTGACCAAAAAGTATCCCCAACCTCTGTGCCCTTGCAGGAGTCTCCATTCAAGGGTAAGTTCTATGCACACACGACGGTGTGAGTAACAGGATCTCTGCTGTGGCAGCAATACCACACATAGGTAAAGGGTTATTAGAAACAGATGAAAATTTCAGTTCTCAGTTTATTTTTATTTAATTAGGTGCTTACTTCTCAAGATAATGTCCAATTATTTAAATTACTCTGCCAGCCACATCACATCATTATTATCTGGAAACATAAATACCGGCACTGGGAGGAGGGAGGACTAACTAGGGAGCATCAGAGAACAGACAAAGCAGATCCACTTCGAGCACAGCTTCACTTCAGCACCCGCACTGCATTCCCCACTGCTAAGTTTGCACTGGAGATGCAACTTGAGAAGCCCACATCTTACACACCTCAGCCCCATGGAATGCACTGCATGGTGCACTCACACAGCAAATTGCATCAGGAGCCTTATACTGATGGCATCCACTCTCCATCCTTACTCCTCCTTGCTCCCTTTCACCTCTGCCTTCATCTTCATTTGTCCCTCCTATGTATTGGTGGAGAGGTATGAAAGGTAAACACGAGAAGGACGTGTAGGGTGGAAATAAAGCTCCATGTGGTAACCAGGAATCGACTGTATTGGCAACAGCATGTGGATGGAGAGCCCAAGAAATTGCCATCAAAATTCAATAGCTCCAGTGCAAGAGCAGCCTTGTTCTTACCAAACTGGTAACAAGGATGACAAAATCGTGTCACTCACTTGTTACTGAGAATTACTTAGTGTTTGTTAAGAAGCTGATCATATTTTGAACATTGAATTCAAAAGACAACAGACAGCAGGTATTTACCATGGCAGAGTATTGATTTCTCTCCCACCAGCAACAGCAAGCAGGCTTGGTGCAGGCATTTTGAAGTGAACCTTCACCCTCTACACCTCTGACAACACTAGAAAGCTCTTGAAATCTTTTTTATCTTTTCTTCTCTCTTGCTAAAGAAACTAATTCTGTAACAGAGGAGGCCTCTGAATGCACTCTCCAGCAGTGCCATGCAGGTGCTGTGCCTGTGTGTTGCCATTTCTGGTTGCTTACTGAAGTACAACCGTTTAACACCATAGTAACCTGGCCAGCTCAGCAAAAGCACTGCCAAATTCTCTCTCTTGTTGGCCAGCTGACAAGGTTAATGTGTCTCTTCCAAGAAAATGAAGTAAATCTAACCCCCCATACCTCCCAAACTCCTGGAAGAACCCCAGAACGTGTCATTAGCTTCGTGGTCCGGCATGCAGGAAGCATTCATCACCTAATGACCAGCACTGGGCAGC